TATTCTCCTCTGTGTTCTCCTCCCTCTGAGGCCACACAGAAATGCTCGAACCTGACCTGCATTCAAACCAGGGCTTCTGGACGCCTGGGCTCTGTGGTCTTGGGCAAGTGTCTTTGCCTCTCTGGCCTGGCGCCCTTTTTCTCTGAGCCTGATTTGTCCAATGACAAATTAGCCCCTGTTCTGTACAGGCATGTTCCAGGTGTGGTGGGAATCAGTGGAGAACAGGGAAGGGTTCCAGGAGCAGAGTCCAGCACGAGAGAGGACCCAGCACAGGCGATTTCCATGTGGTCTGAAGGTGCAGACGCAAGGGACGGAGAAGAAAGTGACCATGGTGGGGTGGAGCGATGAGCTCATTTTGGCAGGGAAATCAGGGAAGACCTCTTTGTGGAGAGGCGGTGAGGAAGTGAAGTCATGCGCTGTCTGGGGGAAAGGTGTCCATTGGGCAAACAGCCAGTGCAAAGGTCCTAGGCCAGGGCATCCTAAGCAGGGAGGGAGGTGTGTTTTATAGCAGCATGCTGGAGCAGGTGAAAGGTGAAGAGGAGCTGAGAAGGGTGGGGGGGAGCAGATTTAAACCGTGCAGGGCTCTGGGGAAGACTTGGGGTTATATCCCAGGTACTGGGGGATCCCTAAAGACTTTTGAAGTGGGGTTGGGGTTGACATGCACTAAGTGAATTAATACATACAGCAGGCCTGGCACATGGAAGGTTGCTTAGTAGATATCAGCTGCAAGGATGGATTCACGTTAGCATCGCTGGTGTTACCTGTTCTTTCACGCTCCTTCTGATCCTGGGGTGCTGGTGACTAGAAGGATTTCCTGTAGTTCTCGCTCTCGGCTCAACCTCTGGGGACTCAGGTGTGTTCAAGGGACGCTCACAGAGAGACCCTGCCTCTCCGGCAGGACATGTCTCAGCTAGGCTAATGGGTCCCACTCCCTGCAAGTGTCCCATGTCCATACTGCCCTGGTCCGCGCTCACCTGGGTCCTGCCTGTTAAAGATAGAATGAGGAGAAGGGAAAGCCCCCTGTTGTGCCACAGAACCGCTTTCTTGCGCCTCTGTGGCCTCAAGCCAGAGGCTCCAGGAGATGCAGCTGGGCCCTTGGGTGGCAGGGCGGGCGTCCCTGTGACGGGCTGGGAATGCTTGGCAGGGTGGGCCTGCTTTGGCGAGTGTTAGTGATGGAGACTGTGACTAACGGGTGACAGGCATTCCCTTTTCCTCTTGGTGCTGTGCTCTGAGGAACCCCATCCACAAGGAGGATAGAAAGAAAGGGTTTCCCCCTGCCTAGACTGGGACACAGGACACCCCCTGTCCTCCAGCCTGCAGCAGTGGTGCTACAAGACAGACACAGCCTACCTGGCCCCAGAGAGCAGCCACGCTGCATTTCCATGTGGGTGGCTTTGCCTGAATCCGGGGTCCCCTTGCAGAAGCCATGTCAGCTTTCTGCTATGTGACAGCACAGGCGGGAGTCCCATCCCAGCAGGTTTGACTTGCTCCGCAGGCCTCCCATGGTGGGCCATCTTTGGTATCCTTGGTTGGTGGTCCAATCCATGCTCGGCCTCCATGCCTCAGGTCCACCCTTCCAGGATGGCCACTCTTACTGTTTACATCCACAAAGACCCCATCTCTAGTCACATTTCAGGTCTTAGATGGGACACAAAGTTTGGGAAGACGCTAACCCAGTCTGAGGGAGCTCACCAAGAGCTGTCAGGACCTCCAGGCATCCTGTAGCTCCTGACCCCATTCTCAGCCTCCAGAGAGCTCAGGCGCGTCTGCTCCCCTAGGAAACTGCAGCACACTCTGTCCCCACATGCCCCAGCTCTGCTGGATGCGTGTTCAAGCCCAGGGAGGCCTCAGCAAACTGCCCAACAATCGCTCAGTGAGCCTCTGCTGAGCCCAGCATGGAGGATAAAAGGACAGGGCCTGAGGGGTCAGGGATGGGATGGGAGCTATCCCTAAGCCAGTGCTGAAGAGTGAGGACCCGACTCCTGTGTGTGAGGAGCCAGGGGAAGTGGGACGTGGTCTGGGGGAGTAAACAGGCTTTGCAGTGTGGGCTTCTTTCTGATCCTCCAACAGTGATTCACACCACAGGGCTTTTGCACATCTGCACGCTCCCTAGCCCCCCAACTCCCCTGCCCAGACCCTTGCCTAGCCAGTTCCCTCTCCCTTCAGAACTTGGCTTAAGTGTCACCTGGCCAGCGGAGCGCCTACCCTGCCCTCTCTTGGCCTCCATTTGATCCCCTTTGAGGCCATTAGCAGCTGCCTGCCCCGAGGGTGAAGTCCTCATCCTGCCTGTGCCCAAGCCTTGGCACGCAGCATCTGTTTTTGCTTCTCAAGGCAGCCCGCCTCACCGGGATCCAGGGGCATTTGTTCTGACTTCACCTACTGATGGCACTGCCAAGGGGCCCAGGGAGCAGGGTCACCGGCTGTGGCCTGGAGGCGTGGGACCTCCAGACTGAGGCCGTTCTCGCTCAGGCTGGACACAGGGAGAAGCCCCGGGTAAAAATAGCCATGGCAGGTTTGGGCACAGTGGCCCTCACTGCCACGTGGCCCGGGCAAGCTGGCCTTGGTCACAGGGAGTCTCCAGCTGACAGCACTGGCCCGGCCCTGACCCTGACCTTTCCTGTGTCCCAGGAGAAGGAGAGGAACGCGCGCCGGAAGAAGAAGAAGACGCCAGCCGCAAGCCAGTGAGGAGGCTGCCTTCCCGCCTGTGGCTGAGGACGAGGAAATGGAGGCGTCGGGTGGGAGCGGGAACAGAGGAGGAGATGGCCGAGGAGGGCAGAAGGTGAGGGACTGACGAGGCGGCCAAGCGAAGGAGGGAGGGAGGGAGTCTCTGCCATGCTGGGCCTTCATAGAGAGGCCTCGAGAGGCAGAGCGTCACCACCTGAGCTGCAGTGAGGACCAGGGTGACGGCAACCCACAGCAGCACAATAACCGCTTCTTCTGGGAGCTCAGGCCTCGTCCAGTCTTCCCAACCCCTGAGCCCTTCTCACCGCTTGGGTGACTGTATGGCCAGGACAGCCCCGTGGGCACCCGTTGTCTTGCCTCCCATCTGGTGTTGTGTCCACTTTTTGAAAAATAGTTTTTAACCAGAACTAACTAACGAATCCTGCAGTGTAAATAGAACCAATCGCATCAACTGATACATACGGGGTGGGGGCTGCATCCCTAGTAAGGGCAAGTGCCCAGCTCCAACCCCAGCATGCCAAAAAAAAAAGGAGAAAAAATAGAAGGGCTGGGTGGGCTCACTGGTACAGCAACCTGCCTAGCAAGTGCAAGGCCCTGGGTTTCAAACCCCAGTACCACCACAAGCAAGTACGCAGTGCCTCCCCAACAACTCTGGGGAGGACTCTGATCTTAGGACATTGTTCCTGTCCAACCTGATCGTCAGTGCCCGGGTCCTACGGCTCCGTGTAGCACCTTTGTAGACCCAGGAGTCCTAACAACACCAGCCCTGCCACTCCTGATGAGTGATTGTCCCCTGACCCGCACTGTACCTCTTTCTCTCCCCGTCAAAGAGGAAGCCACCATTCTGGACCTGCACCCCTGGCCAGGGCAGCCCCAGCTGAAGCCCTCGGGCTCTGGTAGACAGCACCTTCCTCCTGCTCTCCTGTTACCTGTCTGGGGCCCCTTCCTGTTCACTTTGTCTACCTCTTGTGTCTGCCTTCTTAATTTTGCGGGTGTCCTTCTGCAGCATGGGGAAAGAGGGCGCAGTTGCCTTGTGGTTCTGTGAGCCAGGCCCTGCCAGCCCCCATGAGCTCACCAGAAACGTGATTGTCAGACTGAGGCTGAGGCTGGCTGGTCTCCTCACTTCAGGCTCCCCCTTGGGTAGTGAGAAGAAGGGATACTGAAGGCTAGAAACCCAGTTCCCCTGGCGAGCATCCTCCTGGCTGCCCGCACAGGCAGATGCCAGGGTGGCAGGGAGGCTTTGGGATCAAGGGTGGCTCTGCAGTGACACGGAGCAGTAAGCGTCCCTCTACTGCAACCACCACAAACTGCTAGAAGAGCAGGTTTGGGCTGGCCAGGCCTTTGCAGCCCCAGAACAGCTGGATTGGCCTTGACTGGCCTCCTGGCACCCAGGGTGTTGTACTCATCTTAGGATGAGGAAAGGCCCGGGGAGAGGAGAATCACTGACCTGGGTGAGGACCGTGTCCACTAGCCCTGCCAGAATTCACCGTGTGTCTCCTGAGGCCAGACAAGAGGGAGACCCCAGGTGATCTGAAAAGCATCTCTAAGAAAACCCAGATAGCCTGACAGCACTGGGGAGCTGTCCACAGAGGTGGCCACAGAGCCTCATGGCATCCAGGCTATAGCTCACCCAGCCAGGGCCAAGGGATCCGCTCAACCAAGGGTTCCCAGTGACTGACGGTTGTGACAGCCACACGGCCTGATCATCCCTCAGTCATCACCACATCCCCACAGAGGAGGTGCCATCACCCCACCTCCAGAGGAGACGGAAGTGTGTGGAGTCACCGTGGCACACTGGTTGGTAGCCCAGTGTGCTGCCTTTCCTGTCACCTGGTGTCGTATGGTGGTTTTAACGCCTGCTATGAGCCAGGCACGGCACAAAGTTCCTCACCCCAGACCCTGGCCCTGACCAGCGTTCCCACGGACAGACGGGTCGAAGTGCCGAGCCTTGGGCCACTCCATACCTTCCGATCCGAGACCTTTGGGGTCACAGAGACCTTTGGGGCAGGGCCCAGCGATGTGGCATCACAACTCTCTGGATGTCTCTGGGGGCCACTGGTGTAGACCTGCCCGTGAGCTGTGAGAATGACGTGCTGCCGGCCACTCTGTAGATGAACAAACAAAGACTCGAAACTTGGGGGCTTAGTCACTTGTCCACTGCTACTCTAACGTCCTGGTGTCAGGCTGGGTGGCCAGGAGGGAGCCGCTTTGCTTGTCACCAGGCAAGGCAGGGAGTCCTGCCTGTGTGGCCCCCTGCTTTGTGGCCTCGGACAGCTTGTGGTTCAAGTCTGCCTCAGTTTCCGCATCTGTAGATGGCAATGGTACTTGTCCTGACCTTGGAGGTCATGGAGGATCAGATGTCCACGTGTACCCAGGGCCAGAACCATGTTGCTGTTATTATTTCTGGAGGGGTGGCCCTGCTCCAGGTCCCCAAAGGAGGCGAGAAACAGAAGCTGGGGGATGGTGGAGTAGGGAGCAGAGAAGTTGGAAGGGAGTGTTGGTCAAGGGTCCTGGAGCTGGGACTCACAGCAGGCCAGTGACCCCTGCAAGGATACCCAGGGTGGCCAAGCCTTGCTTCTCATCCCATGTGGTCCATCACTGGCTGGCTCTAAGCGGTCCTTGGTCTTGCCGGTGGGGGCTGCTGATGACCTGGGCTACAGGAGGCGGTGGAACTCGGTGGTGGGGAGCGAGTGACCGTGGAAGCCACCAGAAGTCCCCTGTTGCCTGGTGGCCCAGGCCCCTCTGCTGGCCACACCTTCTTCCTCCCTCCCCACTGCCCCCACCTTCATCTAACTGTTTTCTAACTTCCTTCCAGCCTTACACACCTCTGGGAATGAGGTGCCCAGAGGGGAGTGCAGTGGCCCAGGTATGAATGTGGCTGCCAGCCTGGGGGCAGGGTTTGGGCCAGGCAGGGGAGGGCATCTGAGGTCACCTGCCCTCTGCAGGTGGCCCCACTCTGGGAGGAGCATGCTTCTGCTGTGAGCTCTGCCATGTGCTGCCACTGCCCTTGTGCCCCTTTGCAGCGCAGTGTCTGTTCTCCGTGCTGTTCCCCGGCTCGCTTCTGCACAGGAGTGTGCCTGGCTTGACAGTTGTGTGGTTTTCACTAGTGCTTGCACCTGGGATCCTGGCCTGGTTTGATTTCCCCAGCCTGGTTTGGCACCTCGTTTCCCATTTGTCTCCATTTTGTAGAAAATGGGGCCATTGAGACCCAAAGTTGAGGCAGGAGTGGGTTTGGGGGCTGAAGAGTCAGGGTTGGTGGAGCTGAGGTCCTCTTGTCCTCTGCCAGAGACATGTTCCTGCAGCTGTCCCTGTCAAAACCCATGGGGAGGGTCAGCTGGTGCAGGCCCTGCCCTGGGGCCTCCTCCTGCACATTGGTCTCTTTAGCCCATGTCTTGTTGCGATGACCACAGTGGGAGCACGCAGTCACCGCTGCCCATGCTGTCGTGCCTGCTGACTTACCCTCTCTGTGAGGTGAGCGCTTCCCATTCTACTGATGGGAAAACCAAGGTCAGAGAAACCACTGAGTGTCCCACAGGTACCCAGCAGGGAGGGGCAGAGCCAGGTGGTGCTCAGATGAGAACGGGGAGACCCTCAAACAATGGCCAGGATTGCACTGGCCCTGTGGAAGCACTGGCTGTCAAGAGGTCCCAGGGCTGAGAGTGCCCATGTGGTGGGCACCAGGACAGTGATGGTGCTGGCCACCCAGGGTGGAGGGGCTTTGTGTGAGGGCTGGGGCGCCATGCAGGTGGCAGGTGTTTTGGTGTCTGGTGATGGAACCCCTTGGGAGGGCTGCCTCTGCCTTCTATCCTGTGTGTCACTCACCCACTCTCTGGTCTCACCCTGCACAGCCACCATCAACAACAGCTCGGACACTGAGAGCATCCCCTCTCCACGCACTGAGGCCACCAAGGACACAGGGCAGAATGGGCCTAAGCCCCCAGTCACAGACGGGCCCCCAGCCACCGAGCCACCACTCTCCCCCAGAGGATGCTGTGGCCCCTGCTGAGCCTGCCCTGGACCCCGAAGCCAGTGGCCCACCCACGCCCCCACCGGCTCCCCGTCACCTGGTACAGCCCCTCCTGTGGTCCCCAAGGAGGAAAAGAAGAGACGGCATCCACAGGGCCCCCAGTGGAGGAGGGGGAGGAGCTGAAGCCCCCTGTGGCTGAGGAGCTGGCCCTGGACACAGGGAAGGCAGAGGAGCCACGGGCAGCCCCAGAGGAGCCAGTCAAAAGCATCAAGAGCGAGTGCAAAGAAGAGGCAGAGGTGGAGGAGGAGGGGGGCGTGGACAAGGGCAAGGGTGCCGAGGTTGGCCCTGAGGCTATCCCTGAGGGTCCACTCAAGGTGGAGACGAAAGACGCTGGGAGCAGCAAGGCCACTGCGGTCAAGGGCTCAGGTGCCCCCAGGACAGCGACTCGAGTGCCACCTGCAGTGCTGATGAGGTGGATGAGCCTGAGGGAGGTGACAAGAACAGGTGGGTAGCCCATGCACACCTGGCTATGGTCTTTTGTCCTTTCGTGGATTTGCTCTGCACTTACTGAGCGTTGCTGTGCAAGACACAGGTTCTGCCCACCCTTGGAGCCCCGCAGCCATGTCAGGGGGCAGACATGGGGGAGAGGCCAGAAATATTGCTGTACGCTGGGAAAGGGGGGCGGGGTGGGAGGACCCGCCAGGGCTAACTCTGAGCTGAGACAGCCATGGAGTCTTCAGGGGGAGAATGTGTCAGGCAGCTTGCCTGACCTTCCCTGGGTAGCACCCAAGCTGGTCCTGTCACAGAGTTCTGGATGCCAGTGGTCCAAATCCAGGCTTCGTCCTGATGCAGGCTCGGGTTGGTGGTCTCTCTGCCTCTTCCACCTACGATGGGTGCTGTAGCCTTTTGCTTGTCGATGTGTCACTCAAACCTCTGCCTCTTTTGGTCACTTGGCCATTTCCTGTGTCTTGGTGTCCCCGAGGACACCAGTCACTGGATTAGGGCCTGTCCTGTTCCCATCGTCACACCCACAGATGTGCCCAGCCACATACGCAGGAGCTTCCACGCAGCAGGAACTGCACGTGCAAAGGCCTGGGGCGGAATGCACCTGGTGCTTACGGGGGTGGCTCTTGTGGACCCAAAGGCAGGCTGGGCTGCTGCAGCTGTCCTCAGTGCGGTGGGAAAATGGGAGCTTGCACCTGAGTGGGCTGGGCTGTGAGTGACACCTGAACCTGGCTGCCACGGTTTGCAGGCACAGATACAGTTGGGGTGGTCCCAGGACTGATGATGGAGACGTTGGTGACAGTAGGAAGGAGAAAAGCTATAAATTCCAAAGACATGGGTGACTCACCTCCACAGTCGAGGGCCCCGGGCTTGGGCACTTGATCCCTCGCCAGGCGACCCTTTCAGCCTTACCCCTGGTATGACAGCAGGTCTTTCTGGGACAGGTCTGCCGGCTGGATGATCAGGACCATAGCCAGCCTGAGCAGGTACTAGTGTCTCTGCGCTGTCTCTTCTGTCCCCACTGTCTTTGCTGTGAGTGGGGCACCTGTCCTGCCCTGGGTTTGCCAGGTTTTAGCCATTTTCAGGGCACCTGCTTTGAAACCCGGAGCCCTCAATCCACAACCAAAGCTGACCACCTGAGTTGGGGCCCATCTGGGTGCTCGAGGACAGAGCCATGGAGACCATTGGGTCCCATTTGACTGGCTGGAGGAACTGTTTTCAGAGGCAGGTGACAGCATGGCTTTGACATAATGCAGTGTTCCTCTGGGAACAGAGTAGAGCCAAGGGGATGCTGACCTGGAGACTGCACTGCCACCTGGCTGTCTTGGGGACGTTGAGGTGGGCACTTTCAGACTGTGTTTGTCGGTCTGAACTCTGGCAATCCTGCACTCCTCCAAAGCAGGGTGAGCTGGGGTCTTCTGCCCCCTGGGTCCCCACAGGGACCACCGCCCACAGGAGCCTCACCTGTGTGTGGAAGCAGCAGCCTGGTGGCTCTGGTGAGCATAGGCCTGGCAAACAGGTTGCTGAGGGCACCAAGTTTTCCAGCCTTTGGCCCCAGAGGGACAGCTTGGAACATACAGGACTAACGTAGGGCTCAGGTTCCTGCGGACAGGATAGGATCGAAGCTTTGCGCCCCACTCCCACCGGCTGAGGACAGAGCCAGGGAAGCACAAGGTGGTTCAGCCCTGTTGGGAGGCGTGCTGAGCTCCTGAGGCAGCGTGGCCTCTGGGGTCTTTGCTGGCCAGGGCTGCCCCAAGCCCCCCAAATCCTGGGCTCTCTAAGGCCTCTGGCTGCCCTAGCTGGGCTCTATCTGTCCCTCCACTGGGCCGGTGTCCACCCTCCTGCCTGCTGTCCAGCAATCATCCCCCGGGAGCAGGGGCCTGGGCTGGGAGTCAGGACACCTGGTTGGTCAACGCCCTGTGTGACTGGGCTGGCCCCTGCCCTTGAGGCCTGCCTTCCCTTCTTGGAGAGGGAGGCTGGACTCGGGCCAGCCTGCTGACCGCTTCCTAGCTGGCAGCCGCCACCCTTCCCTCTGCCAACCACAATGGTGCAGGACCAGGCGGGCATCAGGGACTCAGGCGAGATGCGTAGAGCAGGCCTGCCCCACGACCCTGGCCTCCCAGGAAGGGCCGCAGTTTGGGCGGGGCCTGGGTGACCCCAAGTTCTGGCTGTCTGCCCATCGCCTTTCCCTCCTGGTAGCCCCAGCTTGGTGAACTCTGTGTCCCCGAACGGACGCAAGATGAATTTCATCTGGCCCCTGCCCAGACATCCCAAGCGAGCAACCCTTCTACCTCTGCCAGGCGGCTCTGTCTGGAGCTCTCCTGACAGGCAACCAGAGGCGGTGACCGGGGTTGCAAACCGTGCCCCGTTTCCCACAGAAGGTGCCTGGCACTTGCTGGCAGGGCTGGGTCTTGGGAAGGCCCCTTCCCCAACCCATGAGATGGGTGAGCTCACTCCCACATGACCAGCGTACTGGCAGGGTCACTGAGTTAGTAACTGTAAAATGCCAGCCTGGGGCCAGGTCCACAGTGGATGCTTGAGATGTGCTGCACCTTGGATCTGGACACCCCCAAGGTCACCCAGTTTCGTCAGCTGTCGCTGTGCATTTTCTTGACTGCTCAGGCGATGAGTTAGGCACCAGCATTTGCAGGCCCATGCTAAGAGCTGTGTCTCACAGGACAAGTGGACAGATGGGGCAGTCAGCATGGACCTCTCCACAGAGGTGACATGGGAGGATGCTTAGAGCTCCTAGTGTGACGTGTGGGAGCCAGACAGCAACAGCCAGTGCAAAGCAAAGGCCTGTGGACACCCGACCTTGTGTTCAGTGGACAGCCCATGGCAGGAAGTGGAGCGAGTGACAGGGAGAAGATGGGCAGTGGGAAGCTGAGGGTAGGGTGGAGTGGGGAGTCAGGGCTTTATCTTGGGGCCCTGGGGAGGTGGGGGGTCTACGTGAGCATAGACGCTATCCACAGACCAGCTCTCCAGTGCCCTCCCGCCGTGTGACAGCAGGGACACTGAGGCAGGGCTAAGCGGGGTGGGAACACACCGTCACCATCCTCGTGCTCCTGATTAATGTGCTCCAGGCCCCTGTCAGCCCTCTTTCTCTGCCTTGTGGAATGACAGGATGCTTGCTTGCCCCCAAGGGGCAGTCTCCAATCAGTTCCTGCTTTATCTCCCACATACGGATGAGGAAACTGAGGCACGGTTGACCCACAGGGAATTCGAACTTGGAGCCTGACCTCTGCTTGGGCATGGGTGGGTAGTAGGTAGGGCCTCCCGGTCACATGTGCTGTGCCAGGCCCCAAGAGCCTGAACCCCAGCCAAGCCTCAGATAAGAATGAGAGCTGCTGCCTTCTAAGAGGGGAGGAGAGAGGGGGTGAGGGCAGAGCCAGTGAGGGTCCCACTGGGACCAGGATGGGGTTCTCTCCAGCCTCTTCCCTCCCTCCTCACTGTGCACACCAGCTCCCACCCCAGGCTCCCCTTCATCAGGCTGTTGCCACGTGTTTGTGGGGCTCAGAAACGAGGGGTGTGAACCTGCATGGGTTCCCAGAGAGTACAGAAGATCTGAGAGGTAGCCCGGCTCTCACAGCCCCTGCCAGTCTGACCGTCCCCTGCCTAGGGACGGCCACAGGGACACTAAGGCAGATGAGGGCACACAGGCCGTACGCAGACGCTCCCAGGCAGCCAAGTGGCACGGCCATCCTTTGTTTTATGTATTTTCAAAACCAAGTTTTTTTTTTTTTTTTTAGCTCTACAGATACGTATTTACATTCATACAAGTTTCAATTTCAGCTTTCGAGTTGTATCTCCAGTGTTTTTCTCATTTCACAACACATGAAACACGGCACGCTACTTACTGTGTCACTGCTGGGAGAACGCAGTTGCTGTGGGAGCCTCGCTCTTGTGGCTGGCTGGCACGCTCCTTGTCATAACAGCTTACTGAGATGGAGTTCACGTGACACGCGGCCCCTGGAAGTGTCAGTCATTTTTATGACAGCCACAGTGTCACACAACCACAACCTGCTGTTCCCCCCCGCCCCCAAGATGCCCCACTTCCTGACCCTTTGCCCTGGAGCCATGGTTGCCTCGGACTCTGGGACAGTCTGTCCAGAGTGTTACTGGAAATGGGGCCTGGGTCTGGCTTCTTCCTCTCATCTCCACGTCTGCGGGGTTTACCCACACGGAGGCGCGAGCCAGTGATTCTTTCCTCTCTGAGGCTGAATGGTGGCCACAGTCTGGCTAGCACCGTCTGTACATCCATCCGTCATCAGCAGACAGACTGCTTCTGGCTGCCACGAGCCTGCATGGCCTTGCAGCAGGTACCCAGCCAGACATGGGGTGACTGCAGGCGTGGCCTTTGTGGCCTTGCGGACTCTCTTCCAAAGTGGCCATAGGGTTTTTTTCCATTGGAGTTTCCTAGCACCGGCAGGTTTAAGTGGATGATGCTGAGCGGACAGAGAGCAGGTGCTGGGTCGGGCGGTGGAGGAGGGAGAGGTCCAAGAGGGCAGCAGAAAGCGAGGCGTGGTGGTCCTGGGCAAGCTGCTGGATCTGGACAGGTAGAGCGGGAGGGAGGGAAGGAGGGGAGGAATGGAGGGCGGCCGCCAGGAGTCAGGGTGACCTTCTCCGCCTGGTCCCCACCTGCTGGCTGTGGCAGCTTCAGCAGGCGTCGCCCGGTCTGTCTCCTCTCTGCCTGTTCAGCCAAGCGTGTGGCAGATGCAGGCAGGAGGCTGCTACCCGCAGGCTGACCTGTCACACGCCTGTGGTCCTGCCGCAGTGGAGTGGGAGGTGGGCTGCCAGCACAGCACCAGCACGTGCCTGCTCTGCTGGCTGGGGGGAGATGTGTTCTCCAGTCCTGGTGTCATGGCTGTCACCTGGAGGCAGTGGCCGAGGCTTACACGTCCTCATATGACGTGTACACATATGGTTCCAGCCAGGACGGTCACGGTGCACAGGGAGGGGCCGTGCTCGTGACCCTGCCACCTTCTGGAACCAATCTTCCTTTTGCCCTCTGGCCAAATCTCAGGGCCTGTGGCCGCTGCAGGGCGCACATGTGTGGTCACCACACTCTGCTCTGCTCCCTGGGGCAGAAGCCGGTCCTGCATCTGGATCAGTGCTCCCTTAGCACTGGGCCCGGCTTGCTGAGCACACGCAGGTGGCAGGCAGTGGCTCTCGGCTGGGGGAGGCCATTCCTGCCTTTAGAGGCCTCATGCCAGCTGGGTAGCCAGAGAGGTACGTGGCAGGGCACCATGCCCATGCTGGGTGTCCTAGAAGTTTCTGGAGGCTTCCTGAAGGAGGCAGTTGGAGAGCCGCGCCCCGCTGGAGGCTCAGATGTGCTCCCAGGTCTGCGTTTCAGCTGCAGAGAGCGACCATCTCTTATGGCCCCTGCTGGAATCTATGCACACCCACCCCCTTTTCTACCTACATGGGTGGTGCGGGGGTTCCCAGCCCCAGGTGCGGCTCCAGCTGCCCCTCTGCAGGAAGCAGAGGCAGTCCTTTGCCCTGGCCCTGCCCTGGCACCAGAGCCGCTCTGGTTTGGGCGACGGCTAATCTCCACGGAATCTCTTAATCTCTTGCTTTAATCTGGCTGAGGCTTTGACTTCCCGGCAGTCCCTGAGGGCCCCACATGGCTTAGGTCCAAGTCTGCCTCCTCTAAGATTTTCCTTGCCTGGGGCTGTCTTGGGGATGTTTGATCCTGGCTTGGGCCTCTGGTCATACCGGGCTTCCTGGCCTGTGGCTGGGACGGTCTTAGCCTGCTGGGGCCTGCGTGGTCCAGAAGGACACCACCCTGTTTTCTGGTCCCAGTCCTCAGCAGGAACACTTGGTGTAGGCTGGGCGATCCTGGACACTTGTCCCCTTTCAGGGCTTCTCTGGCAGGCCCCACTGCCCAGGGCTTGAGACAAGAAGCCATGGAGACAGGACAGCCCCCTTCCTGAGGAGAGTCCACTGTGAGCCTGTGGCTGCCAGTGGCAGACAGCCAAGAGTCCCACACTGGCCTGACCTCTATCTCTCCCCTCAGGCTGCTGTCCCCGAGGCCCAGCCTCCTCACCCCGACCGGTGATCCCAGGGCCACTGCCTCACCCCAGAAGCCGCTGGACCTGAAACAGCTGAAGCAGCGGGCAGCCGCCATCCCCCCCATCGTGAGTGGTGCTGGGCTTAGCGCAGCCCCCTGACCTTGACTTCCTGTGGCCGGCACATAGCGGGGTGGGGGGAGCTGCACCTGTGGCCCTGGCTGGCTCTTCCCAGCCTCTTGTTTCCTGGAGAGGTCCCCGCGGAGACGGCAGGAACAGCTGGAGGAAGCTGGCCCGGCCACTGGCGCTCTGGGGAGGCACTGGAGGAGCTGAGCACCTGCAGCCTGCGATGCTGCCCCCTTCTCACCCCCCGAGAGCCAGCAGGCTGCTGCTCCCCCTCCAAAAGTTCTCTTGAGCCCCCAGACCAGATGGCAGGGTGGCAGGAAGTCCCCCAGGCTGTAGTAGTACTCAGCCAGGAAGTATAGGAGCCCTGCCAATTCTGATTTGGGGCTTTTTGAAGGTCCCTACCCCCGAGAGGCCAACAGGCTCCTCAGTGGTGCCCCCTTCCAGAGAGGGGCCTAGCTCCCCAAGACCTGCACAGTTGTCTCTGCTTCTCAGTCCTGATTCTCAGAGGGATTTGGGATACAGGGACGGAGCCGGGGAGTAACAGAGCTCCCCAGCCTCCCTCAAAGCTGCTCCCTGAGCAGCTGGGATAGGTCCTTTTGAAGGTGGGCAACCCGAGACTCTCCCCTGTGCCTTCGTGGGGCTTTAAGTGTGTCACTGCCCCCTCTGGGTCCCAATTTCCTTGCTGGCCACACACAGTCACCCTTGACCTCTGCTCCCCTCAGACATCAGATGATGGTGCTCATGGTCCCTGCTTCCCCCAGCAGGTCACTAAGGTCCATGAGCCCTCCCGGGAGGATACAGCACCCCCAAAGCCAGCTCCCACTGCCCCACCAACACCACAGCACCTACAGCCGGAGAGTGACACACCTCAGCCACCCAGTAGCAGCCCCCGGGGCAAGAGCAGGAGCCCTGGGCCTCCTGCCGAGAAGGAGGGTAAGTGTGGCCCTGCCAGAGGACCCAGGACAGGGGCCAACCATCTGTCCAGGGCATGTTGGATGTGAGATGGGGGGAGGGCAGAGATTGCAGCAAAGTGAAGAGCTCTGTTCTGTACAACATGGGTGGCCGAGAGCCCCCACAGGGCAGGGCAAGGCAGGCCTGGTGCTTTTCCCCGAGAAGACGCAAATGATCCATCCGCTCAAGGGAAATCCAGTTCCCAACCCGGAGGCTCCTCAGTTTCCAAAAGCATTGCCCATGGAAAAGCCTTTCTGCAGCCAGGCCTCCCCTTTGCCGCGGCTCAGTCCACAGATGAGGGTGGGAAACAATACAGACTTCTGTCCCAGAACCAAAGCAGGGCTGTCCCAGAAGGGTGGCCTGTCCACACTCCCCATCTGATAAGCCCACCCACCTGCTCCCCACAGCCACCTTCGCCTGTGGCAGAAGTCAGGAGCCAGCACCTGGGCAGGTGGATGGCGGATATCCTGGCCCTGGGCCAAGCCATTTTTGATCCCCTGTGTCACTAAGCACTGCACTGGGCAGAGTGAAGGTTTTCCTGCTTTGGGAGCCACCTTTCAGGGAGAGAGAAGGTTAGACAAGGAGACATGGAAAGAATAAAGAGGATAGAAAAGCATCTGTCCATGAGATCAGGATGGGCCCAGCTATGAGGCTGCCCAGGGAGCTTGTCTCTGGAGTGAGGGAGAAGCCAGTTACGGGGAGCGGAGCAGGTAGCAAACCAGGCAGCGAGAACAGCATATGCAAAGACCCTGGGGTGGGAACATGCTTGGGTGTTTTTGAGAAGAGTTGTCAGGAGCCAGTTGTGGCTCGTAAGAGGGTGGGAGAAGCAGGTCAGAGAGGGAGATGAGGACCAAAATGCGTAGGACCTCATCAGCCACGGAAGAGAATGGGGTTTTAATGAAAACGGGAGGGTGTGTACTCTGACCCATGTCTTGGGAAAATTTCTCTGCTCACTGTTGAAAGGATTACCGGCCCCAGTGCTGCTCCAGGCAGTGAGGCAGTCTGGATTCACAGGTGGCTGAAGAGGTGAGGAAAAGAGCAGGATTGGGTTTGCTTCAGATACAAAGCCAGTGGGGAAGGAAGGCAGGAGTGCCTCGCTGGGACAGGATGACATGGCAAAGGGGTGCACTCCAGGCGAGGCGGGAGGACATTCTTGCTCAGGATGACAGCCTAGGGTTAGCATATCAGTGTCGGTCCACAGCTATGGCTAGTGTCAGGCTGCGGTCCTGGAGAGAGGGAGGTCAGGAGCCAGCAGTGCCTGTGGCCGGCTCTCGCTCTCGGCTGTTTCCTAGACGTTCTTCCCACGGGTCAGGAGCACACCTGCCACCGGGTGCTTAGTGCTTCTCTCACGTGGTCTGGCGTCAGCTCCACTCCCTGGGGCCACGTGAACCCAGCACAGCCTCTGGATGTCTCAGGAAGCACGCCTCCCCCATCCTGGCTCCTGCATGGAGCTGCTCGGCCAGGCTGGTCCTCCAGGCTTCCCCAGGCCTGGCCGGAGGAACAGGTTGTCTCTAGGTTCTGGGCCACCTGCCCGGCCTGGCTTGGCCTCAGATTTTCTTCCAGCATGAGGGCCTCCTCTCCCGTCCTCCTAACTCTCCAGAGCTGAGCCAGCAGAGGCAGCTGAGGAGCACACAGAACTGGGGTCCCGTGAGCCAGGCCCAGGTGCTGGCGGAACTGCCTGGCCCTGGGTCCCCCACTTGGGGGTCAGTTTCTGGCTGCGTTGCTCCAGGTCGCAAGTCCCAGGGAGCCTTCTCTCTCCTGGGGGAAAAGGTGCAGCACTGGGGCCTCAGCTCCCTCCTGCCACACCCTGCCTTCAGGATCTCCTTGGGACGTCAGGAGGTGGCACCTGCCTGCCATTCCTGTCCCAGGGCCTAGGCCACTATTACTCCCATTATGTCTTGGCCGGTCATCTGCCCCAGGATTGGTCCTTGCCAAGGGCGAGTGACCAGCAAAGCACACTAAAGTCAGCTCTGATCCTGGACACCCCAGGCCTGAGAATCCAGGGTCACACACAGCAGTGCTTGCAGCAGGCAGCATAAAGCCACAGCTGCAGCCCACCACTCCCCCAACCCCTCGCTGGCTGGGCCACCTCCAACTCTATCATGGAAGGAGCTGTGAGGACAAAATGCAAATACGCTTAGCATCGCCCTTGGGGTTGTCATTTTGCAGCCACATGGGTGCACGTTCTGACTTGGCCACATACTGGCTGGTGACCATAGAGATGCCCTCTTGTGTCTGGACCTGCTTCCCCTCTGCAGAGTGGGGCTGGTCACCTTCTCCTGCATGCTTGCCAAGGCCGGGCTGATGCTAGGTGCGTTGTGTCAGGCCACAGCGATTGAGGTTGTCTGGAGCCATGGCTGGTGACACACACATCACGGTCGTTCAGAGTCACAAGTGAATAGCTCGGGCCTCACAGGCTACACGCACTACCGCACCCTCTCAGCTGGGCTCTGGACAGCAAATCCGTGGATGGGGGACAGCTGCTTAACACTGCCTGTGGTTTCTGTCTGGGCCCTCGCTCACCTAACCCTGGTGGCACTTGTGGGATTAGCAAACCCAACAGCTCCGTTCTTATGTCCAGAGGTTCCCTGGGGTCTCAGGCTGCTGAGAACTCCCAGCCCTGGCTCCCCACTTGCCAGAGTTGAGTGGAGCATCCTGGAACACAGCAGTGACCAGGCCTGCTGACCCGAGGGCTTCTTGGAAGGTCCCCAGGACTGCTGGCTGGGGTCTTGCCCTGCCTGTAGCCAGCACCACAGATGTGGACAGGCCAGCAGGGCCGCAGGGTCCTGGGACAGCCAGCACCACCTGACCACCTGCCTCATTCCTTCCTCAGCAGAGAAGCCCCCATTCTTCCCAGCCTTCGCCACCGAGGGCCCAAAGCTGCCTGCCGAGCCCCCACGTGGACTTCAGGCCTGCCCTTCCCAGTGCCGCCTCGGGAGGTGATCAAGGCTTCACCGCATGCCCCAGACCCCTCAGCTTTCTCCTACGCACCTTCTGGTGAGGAGCTCAGCCCACACTTGTTGGGCATCACGTCTGCACTGGCATGGAGTTGCTGGGGACGGGCATTCGATTGGAATGAGGTCGGGCACAGGGACGGCCTGTCCAGTGCAGGAGAGTCCTCTGGGACTTGAGAAATCTATAGGTTGAGGGTGGATGTGTTGGGCAATAGGGAGCCACAGGAGGTACAGGAGTAGTGAGGGGCAGGCCTAGTGTGGGCATGGGTTTTGTGCCATTGGCTTAGAGCTAAAGGACCAGCAGGTGGAGAGATAGCCTGAGGGAGGAGAAGCGGGCTGCTTTGGCTCACAGATGCTTTCCAGTGCTGCTGACCTCGTTAGTAATAAAAGCAGCACAGCTGGGGGCCCATACAGACTGTGACATCTACAAAGGTCATCCTAGGCAGAGCTGACCTCAAAGGACGAGTGGGCCAAGGGACCTGGTAGAATAGCAGGGACAGGCTTGCCAGGCAGAGGGAGCAGCGTGTGCAAAGGTCCAGAGGCAGAAAAGAGTGAGGCTTGAAGCTGACTCAGGCTACCATGGCAAAAGCTCGATACCAGGGGCTGGGTCAGGTGAACCCAAAAGCCATGTCGGGTGACTGCCCTGAAGGCAATGGGGAACCATTGAAGGTCCACAGCAGAGGGAGCGTGTGAACCACTAGATGTATTTAAAGATCCCTGTGGTCCCCGTGCAGGGGGAAGAGTGTCAGATGTGAAGTGGACATGGGGAGGCTCAGGTGAGGCTGAGGCGTGGACAGGGCAGAGTCTGAGCAGCAACCCTAATAAAGCCAGGCTGCCCAGACTCAGACTGAACAGAGGGCTGAGAGATGCAAACGGCGAGAGGGGCAGAGGGGTCCCCCTACATGTTGATGTGTGCCCGCAGGTCACCCGCTGCCTCTGGGCCTCCATGACAGTGTCCGGCCCATGCTGCCACGCCCCACCACCATCTCCAACCCTCCTCCCCTCATCTCCTCCACCAAGCACCCCAGCGTCCTCGAGCGGCAGATGGGCGCCATCTCCCAGGTGAGGGCCCCTGCTCTTGGGACTTGGTCTTTGTCACTGAAAGGTGGGGCCATAGGACCAGTGAGACTGGGTGGGGTGGGCTCTCAGGCCCCTGATTGTCTCTGTTGCGGGGCTGTCAAAAGCACAGGCTCCGGACGAGGCTATGTAGACTCCCGTAAGTGACTTGACCTCTCTGGGCCTGAGTTCACCTTCTGTTGATGAAAGGCAAACGCATACAAAGTGACCTAGCCAAGCTGCAGTGTGTGCTTGGCACTTGGCTGTCACCCTTCACGTAGCACAGGTCGGCTTGGCTCAGACCCCTTCTTGTGCACTGTGTGCCTCACACGGCACTGGCAAGGGGACTGAGGCTCAGGAAAGGCATGGGCCTGTTGGGGTCACACAGCTGGGCAGCAGGACCCGACCTCCAGCTCCCACTGTGACCTGTGTGTCCTGTGGCTGCTGTGGCAGGACCTTGACCCTTGTGACGCCCTCGCCTCTGCCCTGCAGGGAATGTCGGTCCAGCTCCACGTCCCATACTCTGAGCACGCCAAGGCCCCAGTGGGTCCCATCACCATGGGGCTGCCTATGACCATGGACCCCAAGAAGCTAGGTGAGGACCTGCCTGCCCACAGGGGACCCCTTGGCTCCTGCTGCCATGATAAGTGGGGGGTGTCTTGGGCCACTGGGACCCCCACATGGGGGAGGGTGGCCCATCCTCGGCCTGTCCCAGGGCACACACACCCTCCTGTGCTTACCAGTGCCCTTCAGCGGAGTGAAACAGGAGCAGCTATCCCCACGCGGCCAGGCCGGGCCACCTGAGAGCCTTGGGGTGCCAACAGCCCAGGAGACATCTGTGCTGAGAGGTGAGGCCTGGCCACCCCAGACCCTGGACCATCTTCTGCCCCACGTTCCCAGCCCCACCCTGGCTACTTGGACAGTTGAGGTGGCCTGATGTCTCTCAGAATCTGCTGAGAAGTGTCAGAACCCTTCTTTGTTCTCATCCCCCTCACCCTTGGAGTCACCGAGAGGTATAAGTGGACAGCTCTTGGGCCTGCAGAGGGCCACAGGCACCCTGAGCACGTGTCTTGTATCTTCTAGGGACAGCCCTGGGCTCTGCTCCAAGCGGGAGCATCACAAAGGGCCTCCCTGGCCCTCGGGCACCTGCGGACAGCCCCAGCTCCTACCGCGGCTCCATCACCCACGTAGGTGTCCGGCTATGGTGAGAGGATGGGCAGGGGGCAGCCAGCAGATGCTCATTCATCTGGTCTGTGTGGGAGACCAGGCTTGGGGTGCCCAGCAAGGAGCAGGGGTGTGGCTAGAGGCAGCAGCACACACAGGCAGGTAATGGCTGAGGACAGGTGACATCAGAGGACCAAGTACTGTAGATCAGTCACATACCATGATGGAAAGTAAGGTACAGTGGTACACACCTGTAATCCCAGCTACTGGGGATATGGAGATGGGAGGTTCGAGGTCCAGGCTGACTGTGCAAAAGGACTTGGGGCATGGAAGGTCACTCGGTCCAGCAAGTGAGGTGGCATGTCAGGAAGGACAGAAGAAACAGAAAGCTCTGGGAGCAGCATGTGCAAAGACCCAGACAGAAGTAGGAGGGCTCCTGGCAAGTCCGAGTAAGTGGTGGCCCCAGGTTTGGTGCCAGCTGTGTGTAGCTGAGCTTGTGGGAAACAAGCACGGTTTTGACCTGCGCACCACAGACCTACACTGGAGGATGCACTTGGGTGCTCCATGCTTCTCCGATGTCATGGTCACAGCAAAGAGCAAAAGCTTGGGGCGAAAGCCCAGCTGTGCACTTGAGTCCCAGCTCTGTCTAGCACTCCCTGACTCAGTTTCTCCTTTGGTAAGAGTGTCCCCAAAAGAGACGTTTGCACAAAGCGGTAGGGATTCAAGGTTAGCACTTACAGCTGCTGGGTCTCCATGTCCTTTTGGGGCCCAGGTGGCCGTGACCCAGACCCACACTCGCCCCTTCCATTGGTTTCAGCAGAGTGGCAGCTGCTAAGATGTCCGAGGTGGGTGAGGTGGGCCCCACGCGGGCATCGGTCAGCTACGCGGGAGTGACAGACAGGGAGGGACCACACAGCGCCCCACTCGGCTGCTTCAGAGACCCAAGGACAGTCCCCCCTTGTCCCTCTCTGTGCTCCCCACCCACCCTAGGGACAGAGCTATAGGCTCAGATTATTGCCGCAGGCAGCAGGCATGGGTGGCTTGTCCCCAAGCAAAGCCATGGCGTGTCTGCATTGCCGTCCTCGGTCCATGCCTTGGAGGACACTGCTGGGGACCCCTCCAAGCATGTAGCTTGCGAACAATGAGGTGCCACCTCGAGAGCCCATCTACCACTCGAGCTGGGTAGCAAGCCAGTTTCCCCCGCTTCAATGTGTTGTGGCACAGACCTTCCGTGCCATCTATGAGGTGACAGGTGCTGTCAGCTGCTGTAGAAGGACTCCTCCTGGCCCTCGCCCCTCTCCCAAGCTCTCCCCGATCTCTGCACCCTGTGCATTCTCTCTGTGTGCCTGCATTTTCCAGCCCTGTGGGGAGGTCCTGGCTCCCTGCCTGGCCCTGTGAGATTGGGGAGCCCTGCTTTTCCCTCCTCACAGGCTGTGATCAATGTTTGTGCCCTTCAGGGAAGGTCCTCAGCAGAGCGAGTGTGATGGAGCCTTGGCCCACTGGCCCAGGGCCTGGCACATAGCCAAGTCACTGGCCCTGCTCCTGGGGCCAGAGGGGAGGAGGGACCTTGGAATGTGGGGATACCTGGTCTGGGGCGGGTACCTCTGAGAGCCCTCATTTTGTACACATGCTCAGAGTGGCAAGAATTGACACAGGTCTTACAGCAATTCGGTGGTGAAGTTGCCACGTGGTCCCTGACAGTTTGGCTTCAGAACCACATTCTGAACTACCCCACTGTGTCTTGAAGTCGTCCCAGTCAGGTGGAGCCCATGGCCCGCGCTCTTGACCACGTTACCTGCCGGGGAACTCACTTCCTCTTAGGCAGCAGGCCACATCTCTGGGTGTCTGTGCTTGTCACGGCTCAGGGAACAGGGCTGGGGGCAGATGAGTAGCATCTAGTGGAGCCAGACCAGAATGCTGCCTGATCCAGTGCCCAGGACCACCCACAGCAGAGCCATGTGGTCCCCGATGAGAACAGGCTGAGAAGCCACGGTCAAAGCTGAAGTTGCCGGTGTCCATCCCTGACCCAAGCCTGGGTCCTGTGGTCCGTGCCAGTTCCCATTTGCTGGTAGTTGCCATAGCTCTGAGAAGGTAGACAGACTGATCCCCACTAGCCAGGTGACCCTGTGCCTGTCTCCCCTTATGAAGCAGATGTAATAATGACTCTGGTCTCACTTAATTCAAGAACGTTAGTGCGCGGCAGTCCTGTCCCATGTGGTGGTCTGGCGGCTCCCTCCCCTCCCCTTCCCCGCAGGGGACCCCGGCTGCTGCTCCCCAGATGCTCATCCCCGTCCCCCGCCTCTGCAGGGCACACCGGCTGACGTCCTGTACAAAGGCACCATCAGCAGGATCATGGGTGAGGATGGCCCAAGTCGCCTGGACCGTGCCCGGGAGGACCCCCTGCCCAAGGGCCATGTCATCTATGAGGGCAAGAAGGGTCACGTCCTGTCCTACGAGGGTAAGTGCCGGGCAGGTGCCATGGGACCACTTGAGACCCTGGCAGGGCGGCCCCAGCCTCCCCTTCCCATTCACAGGTGACCAGTGGACCCTGGGAGGAACAATGGTCATTTGGTCACTCGGGAGCCAACCCTGTGCTTGGGCTGGGGCCCAGGAGGACAAAATCAGACAGTGTCCCAGTCCCAGCCTCAGTTAGCTTGGGACACCCACATAGGAGATTTGTCGGCTAATGTCAAGACACCAGGCCCTGCCCACCCAGAGAGGCTTGTCCCTCAGGCTGCTGTGGTCCTCCAGTAGCCACACAAGGTTGAGAGCCGGGGAGGCAGGCACAGACTCTTCTCTGGCTCTCATGGTGCCTTTCTGGGTCCTTGAGAGACAGGAGGCCCAGGCTCGTGGGGTGGGGGATGTTTAGCCATGGGAGATGGCTTCACGGGCAGGCAGTGCAGTTGGGACACCAAGAAGCAGTCAAGGAACATTGTCCCTGGCACTGCAGGTCCACACAGCGGTACAAGTGCCTTAGGAAAACCTGCAGCCAGCTGGGTTGGGCACATGGAGGGGAAGAGGCCCAAGCAAAGGCCAGGTCTGTTACGTGAAGAGTGGTGACCAGCACATGGGTGGCAACAGCTGCAGGACTCCAGTGCCTGGCTCGTGTCCCTAGGCCCGCAGCCACTCCCTAGCCCAGGGGGTAGAGGGGTGCCATGGGCATTTCAGTCTGGAGGCCAGGGCGTGGCTCGTACCCTGCTCTTCCCACCCACGTAAATCCCGGCACATCTCAGAGCCACACTTGGCAGGTTGCACGGGGGTTCAGCCATCCTGGTCCTATGGGACATTGTGAGGGATGTACCTCTGCCCACCACCCCTTGCCCGACTGCAGTCCTAGCCCAATGTACCTGGTCACTCATGGCCACCCCCTCACTGTGCACTCCATCTGGTCGCCAGGTGGCATGTCTGTGTCCCAGTGCTCCAAGGAGGATGGCAGGAGCAGCTCAGGCCCGGCTCACGAGACAGCCGCCCTAAGCGCACTTACGACATGATGGAGGGCCGAGCGAGCAGGCCCCTGTCCTCGGCCAGCATTGAAGGTGGGCGCTCCTGCAGACGCGAAACACAAGGGACCTAGCACCTGCCTGGGGACGGAGTTCTAGCAAGAAGAGAGAATTCACCTTTTAGCACTTACCGGAGGGAGGTGGTGGGGTGGTTGACCCTGTTTTACAGGGGAAGAAATTGAGGCTGGCTTTTCTGGGAGCAGTACAAAGACCAGGAGATGGGGTACTTACTTGCTGGGCCATATTCCACCACGGTCACCTTGGGGACTGCTGTGGAAGGACCTGGCTCTGTCTGCCTGATGCCAGCTCACACAGTGACACCTGTGTCCCCTGTTTCCCGCAGGGCTCATGGGCCGTGCCATCCCACCCGAGCGGCACAGTCCCCACCAACTCAAGGAGCAGCACCACATCCGGGGCTCCATCACACAAGGTACACTGGCCTTGCTTCCCTGGAGCTCGTCACGTCCTCCAGGAAACAGTGCAGGTGGGGGGGGAGGGGGGCATAGGCCAGCAATGCGAGCTCAGGGGACAGGTGTGGACAGGTGCATAGCTTAGTGTGCAGGTCAGATACAGAGCAAAGGTATCTGGAAGCAAACTGCTGCCCCCCACCGCCAGCCCTCTGCTCTGTGGGTGTCATTGTGGTACGATTACTGTATGCCTGGCCCTGACCCCAGGGCATCTGGTGCAAAACGCAGAGCAATCAGGTACCTGGCTCGGGTCCTTGTGGCTGCTCGGTGGCTGGGCCAATTCCGGGAGCCCCGTCTTTTTATCTTCAGCAGAGTCTTCACAACTCAGTGAGGTGGTTTCTTACTTTACCTATTCATAAAGGTCAAGTTGCATGCACTGGGTCAGACACCCAGGGTGGATTTGAATTGAGGCAGTGTGGCTCCAGACCCCACTGGCAGGAGGCCCCTGGCTGGGCTGGGCAAGGCCAAGGACAGGTGCCTTGGGTCAACGCCACCTGCCCTGCAGGAATCCCACGGTCATACGTGGAGGCCCAGGAGGACTACCTGCGCCGGGAAGCCAAGCTTCTGAAGCGTGAGGGCACGCCGCCACCCCCGCTGCCGCCGAGAGACCTGGCTGAGGCCTACAAGACCCGACCCCTGGAAGCCCTGGGCCCGCTGAAGCTGAAGCCAGCTCACGAGGGCCCGGTGGCGACCGTGAAGGAGGCAGGTCGCTCAATCCATGAGATCCCACGCGAGGAGCTACGGCACACGCCCGAGCTGCCCCTGGCCCCACGGCCCCTCAAGGAAGGTTCCATCACGCAGGTATGGGTGCCTGTGCACAGCCCTGAGGGCATCTTATTGACCCCACTTTTATTGGTGAGTGAGCTGAGGCTCAGAGAGGTTACCTTCCCTCCTGGGGTCACACAGCTACTCAGTGGTAGTTGTGAATCCCAAATATGGGTGTCCCCAAATCCTCAACATCTCCACTTGTCAGGTTCATGGCCCTCAGCCCAGTAAGGAAGACTGCTCCCCCATGAGGGCCAGCGCTCCTTCCCAGGCAGCTCTCCTGGGAGGGGTTTCAGCCTGGCGATATCACCGGGGAAGGGTGTGGCAGGAGGCAGGAAGGTCACTGAATGCCAGCATCCATCCTGCGTCCCAGATGGGACAGGCTGATTCAAGAATGCTGTTTTGAAAAGTGAGACTGTTCCCTTTCTGATGAGGCTGAATAAACAGGCTGAGATCCAGAGTCCACTGTGCCCTGTGTCCCCACGCCTACTAAGACGGGGGACATGGTCCTCTCCCTGGGTGGCCAGCTGCTCAATTCCCAGTCCTGTGCGGGACCTGATCTCTGCTGTGCTCTTTTTGGCCAGAGAGACATCACCCAGCCATGAGCTGGGCACGAAGGCCATGACCTCAGGGCAGTGGAATTCCACGGCCTGGCATTGGTGGGCAGTTGGAGGGACCTGGCAGGCAGAGCACAGCTGTGCCCACTGGTGGCCTGTGGACAGGCATTGCTTCTGGGGAAGGCTGACTGCTAAGCTCTCAGCCCTGGGCAGTGAGCGTGTCTTCCTCAGGCTTTAGCAGAGCCCTCTGTCCCCTGCCCTGGAGGCGTGGGAAACTGAGGCACAGAGGTCACGCAGCTGGCCTTGGCTCGTGGTGAGGACGGCTCCCACTGCTCTCTCCAGGGCACCCCGCTCAAGTACGACAGCAGCACAGCCTCCACCGGCTCCAAGAAACACGATGTGCGCTCCATCATTGGTAGCCCCGGCCGCACCTTCCCACCCGTGCACACGCTGGACGTGATGGCGGACGCCCGGGCCCTGGAGCGTGCCTGCTACGAGGAGAGTCTGAAGGGACGACCGGGGGCCGCCAGCAGCACGGGGGGCTCCATCACACGCGGGGCCCCTGTCGTGGTGCCCGAGCTGGGCAAGCCACGGCAGAGCCCACTGACCTACGAGGACCACGGAGCACCCTTTGCTAGCCACCTGCCACGTGGCTCTCCTGTGACCACGCGGGAGCCCACCCCGCGGCTGCAGGAGGGTGAGTGGGGCGAGGTGGGGCACCTGCGCTGTCAGCTGTGGAGACGGGGAGACTGCCTCACCAGCCACCGTTTACCTGGCCTGGGAGCAGTGCCCTCCACGGGGCCCACGGGCTCTGCCTTCGTGTCATGTTTGGAACTCCCTCCACCCCTGCTTCCTCCCAGACTTGAGAAAATGGAAATCAAATTGTTCCACTCCCAGCAACGTCTCTTTAGCAACCGTGAGCTCTGCTTGTCAGCACTGGCTTCAGGCGCCTGTGCAAAGCACCTTCCATCACTCTCCACTTCGTCCTCCCGAGAGGGTCCGCCCTCTCTCCCTTGGCCACTTGCTGCTCTTTTGTACTCTGGGCCTTTGCACGTGCTGCCCTCCTCCTGCAGGGGCCCCACCACTCAGATTGGCTTCCGGTGTCCTCTCTCTGGAGGTTTCTTAGGAGCTCCCTCTCCCCCCGTCCAGCTCTGGTCATATCCTATGACACTTTAAAATTTTTCTTTGGAGCGTTTGTCTCTCCAAAGGCCCTACGTGTTTGCTGTTTTATCATCCATCTCCTCCCCTGAGCATCAGCTCCTCCTGCAGGGGCCTCTTCTCTGTCTTGTTGGGGTGACCCCCGCTCTCAGAACTGTACTGCGCGTAAACACGGCCTGAACAGTGAACAAGTGAATGGAGTTTTTTTAAGGGACGAAGGAATGAATGAGTGGGCTGGGAGTCATGGAAAGGGGGTGGGTGACCCCAGTCTCGGGGCCTCTGTGGGAGTGCTGGTGGTGCACAGGGGCCAAGCAGCCCGTGACCTGTCCCCACAGGCAGCCTCTTATCTAGCAAGGCGCCCCAGGACCGCAAGCTGACATCGACGCCCCGGGAGATCGCCAAGTCCCCCCACAGCACTGTGCCCGAGCACCACCCCCACCCCATCTCCCCCTACGAGCACCTGCTTCGCGGCGTGAGTGGCGTGGACCTGTACCGGAGCCACCTCCCGCTGGCCTTCGACCCCACCTCCATACCCCGCGGGATCCCTCTGGATGCAGGTGATTGGTCCAGGCCCACGGGTTCCCAGCCATGGGGACGTGGCCCAGGGAGGAAGGGGCCCTAGTCACTGTCAGCACACAGGCTGCCGGTGTCCACAGGTCTGTTTCTCTGGGTGGCGACTTTGAGGCCTTTGGTTCTGTTTGGCGCTCTGGGCTGCCCGCGTGTGCGCGCAGGAAGCTGTCAGGTGCAGCAGTGGCGGTGGGGGTGGGGGTGGGGGGCGTGGAGAGCCGCGTGAAGACCAGGTGTGGCCAGCCTGACCCTTGCGCCCTTCCCAGCAGCTGCTGCCTATTACCTGCCCCGGCACCTGGCTCCCAACCCCACCTACCCTCACCTGTACCCGCCGTACCTCATCCGCGGCTACCCCGACACCGCGGCCCTGGAGAACCGCCAGACCATCATCAACGACTACATCACCTCGCAGCAGATGCATCACAACGCAGCCTCCGCCATGGCCCAGCGCGCGGACGTGCTGCGGGGTCTGTCGCCGCGGGAGCCCTCGCTGGCCCTCAACTATGCCACCGGCCCACGAGGTGGGTGGGGCAGGCGCCTCAGCCACGCGGGCCGCTCCTGGGTGCTCTTAGCCGCCAGGGCGTGCAGAGGACGCGCGTGCCTGCACGTGCCCTGTGCCCTGAGAGGCGGCTGGCGGGGTCGCTGCGGGTGGCGTGGGCACCCCTGAGCGTACGGGCCTGCCGGGTGGCGCGAGCGTGAGCGTGCTGTGGACGTCAGTTTGCACCTGGGAGTCGAGCGTGTGGCGGGCGCCTCCTGACGCACAGTGGGTGTGCACACGCACCCGGGTGCAGTCCTGCCACACACGGTCCTGGGAGTTTCGAGGCAGAACGGGAGACCGTGAGGACCATGGAGTCCTGGGCTTTCAGACAATGCAGGGCTGCTTTGCTCTGGGGAGCTGGAGCACCATCCAGAGACTGTTCTAGAATGACCAGTGCTGACTGGGGCCAGGCCAAGAAACTAAAGTCACCCTGGGTGTTGCCGGAGGGTTGGCCACTCAGGGGACACGGGGCTGAGGAGGAGGAGGTGCCCTTGCCTGGCCCCGAATCAGGGGTGAGTGCACCACTCCCCAGGATGGGGGCCAGCAGGGGCAGCTAGGCCTCTCTACCCCCTGCACTGCAGCTGTCCCACTCCACAGGCATCATTGACCTGTCCCAAGTGCCACACCTGCCTGTGCTGGTGCCCCCGACGCCAGGCACACCCGCCACCGCCATAGACCGCCTTGCCTACCTCCCCACGGCGCCCCAGCCCTTCAGCAGCCGCCATAGCAGCTCCCCACTCTCCCCAGGTACCATGCTGTCCCCAGCGGGCTGATGGGGGCAGGGTTTATCCCAGCAGGCAAGCATCTGCCCCCTGGACCTGGGGCAAGCCTTCGGCTTTTTGGGGTTTCCCAGGAGGTCCCTCTCACCTGACAAAATCAGCAGCCACGTCCTCGTCGGAGCGGGAGCGGGAGAGGGAGCGGGAGAAATCCATCCTCACATCCACCACGACAGTGGAGCACGCACCCATCTGGAGGCCTGGTAAGGCAGCGGGGACCCCTCCCGCCCCAGCCCACCCTGCCATGGGTCTCACCCTGGCCCTTGAGGCCTGGCCTCCCTGACCAGCAGCCTGTCACCAGGTACGGAGCAGAGCAGCGGTGGTGGTAGCGCAGCCGTGGGTGGCAGCAGCCGCCCCGCCTCCCACTCCCATGCCCACCAGCCTTCACCCATCTCCCCCCGGACCCAGGACGCCCTGCAGCAGAGGCCCAGTGTGCTGCACAACACTAGCATGAAGGGCACTGTCACGCCCGTGGAGCCCAGCACGCCCACAGTCCTGAGGTGGGCCAGGTTGGCACCAGGGGCCGGGGCACCGGCGGCCCCGTGGGCTGGGATGGTGAGGGGTGGCAGATAAGCAGGCAGGTTGGTTTGGGAATGGGGACAGGCGATGGGGAGGGGTGGCTGAATATTTGAGTAGGTGGATGGAGGACAGGTGGGCAGCTGGAGGATCCATAAGTAGGTGGGTGGGTGGCTTAGATGAAGAGTCGGTGGACAGGTTGTGAGGACGGGGTAGGGGTAGGTGGGTAGACGATGGTGCTGGGTGGGGGGATGGTTCAGCTTGATACGTGGATGAACAGAGTGGACAGGCGTGTGGTTAATCCCGTGGGTGATGGGTGGAGGAGCAGGGCGGGTGGGTGCACGGATAAGGAAGTGACAGTAACTGATAGAGCCCTAGGAGTAGAGTTTGCAGAAGATGAGGACATGGGGAATGACAGGAGGCTACAGGGCTGGAGTTGGCTGTGCGGCTGGGCAGGGGTGGCTGGACTTCATGAGCCTCCCTGGGGCCTGTGCCCTGTCTTTCCCACTCCTCCTCTCTTGTCCTGTGAGGCCCAGCGTTCTCGCCGCCTCCTCAGAGCACCCTCCTGGCCACCCTGCTCGGGCTTCCCTGCCACTTGCTCTCCTCGCCCTGGCGTCGGGCTCTTGTACGTGCTAACGTGCAATTTGTAGAGTCTGGAACAGGGGCCTGGCACCTCGCTGGTGCTCAGTAGGAAACTTCACAATGGTGCAGTGAGTGAGCGGATGGGTCGGGGCGTCAGTGGTAGAGAAGACCATGCCACAGTCTCGCAGGTCGCAGCCAGGAGAGCGGTAGGGAGTGGGGACTCATCCAGGGTGTTGGAGTGAGAGAGTGACTCACTGACCGACAGCTGCCTGATCCCCCGCTCTCTTCAATTCCAGGTCCACCTCCACTTCCTCACCTGTCCGCCCGGCGGTCACATTCCCACCCGCCACCCACTGCCCGCTGGGCAGTGCCCTCGATGGCGTCTACTCTACCCTCATGGAACCCGTCCTGATGCCCAAGGAGGCTCCTCGGGTCTCCCGGCCTGAGCGGCCCCGTGCGGACACTGGCCACGCCTTCCTCGCCAAGCCCCCAGCCCGGGAGCCCGCTTCCTCGCCCAGCAAGAGCTCCGAGCCCCGGTCCTTAGCACCCCCCAGCTCCAGCCACACTACCACCACCCGCACCCCAGCGAAGAGCCTCACGCCCCTCCACGCCAGCCCGGACCCGCCAGCACCCGCCTCGGCCTCCGATCCGCACCGGGAAAAGATTCAAAGTAAACCCTTTTCCATCCAGGAATTGGAACTCCGTTCTCTGGGTAAGACCACCCTGACAGCGGCCACCTTCATAGACGCAATAATCACGCGTCAAATTGCTCACGATAAGGGGTCGCGAGAAGGAGGTGCGCTGGCCGAGGAGTCTCCTCGCGACGGTAAGACTTCCGGCCCGCCCCCGCCCCATCCGTGGCCCAAAGATATTTTCAGATCTTTGCTGTTTATGCCCCTACCCGCCCCCCTTTTTTTTTGTGTCGTTGTTGGGTTTGGTATTTGTTTTTAAACCGTCTTCGTCGATTGCACGCTCTGACGATCTGCAAGTCACAGCCGCCGCCCTTCTGGTTTGGAGCACTTCATCATTTGCACATCGTTCTATCATGGTTTTTTGGTTTTTTTCTTTTTTCTTTTTGGATTTTCACCTTTTTCTTTTTCTTTTTTTTTTTTCCTTTAATGAATGGATCTGTGATTTTGGACTCCGGCAGCACCTGTCATCTTCCCCCTTTGCACCTTCGTTGGGTGGGGACCAGGGGGCAGGGGGCAGGGCTGTGAACTGGTAGCTTCGCCCCGCTGCCCTGGTGCAGGTGTAATTTGATCTGGAGGAAACCGAGGCAGGCAGGGAGGAGGGTGTGGGAGGAGGGGCACTGGTACATCCCTCCCACCTGGTGTCCCCTGCTCTGGGCACCCGGGAGAGAAAGAGGCAGTTCTGCCCTCCCTGGCTCTGCTGTGCTGGGCTGCAGACAGTGAAGCAGGGCCCAGGAGGGTCCTGGGGTCTTTTGACCTCCTGCCCCTCACTCTGCTATCTCCCTCTCCATGTCCAGCCCCAAGGAGCCCTCTCCACTGCCCGCTTCCTCCTCTGACTGCCCCTCAGTGTCTGTGTGTCTCACTCTACCTTAATCTGTGTCTGTCTGGCTGTCTGTGTGCCTCATCTGCAGATTCTGCTTTCCCCACTTCTCTCCCTTTCTGTCTTCCTGCTTTATCTGTTTCCCCCACACACGCACATCCCTTCTGGTTCTGTCTCCAGAGGCCCAAACCCCACCCCAGCTCAGGATCCCTTCATCTCAGGGCACCAGCCAGTGGAGGGTGGGCTGGGGTGGAGGCCCTGCCCCTTTGACTCAGCCTACACCTGACCTGGCCCGCCTGTCTTAGGTTACCATGGTGGTGGCTGCAGCCCCGATGGGGTAGAGCCTGTCAGCCCTGTGAGCTCGCCCAGTCTGACCCACGAAAAGGGGCTCCCCAGGCACCTGGAGGAGCTCGACAAGAGCCACCTGGAGGGGGAGCTGCGGCACAAGCAGCCAGGTAAGCACCCCAGTCACACAGGTGGGGAAACTGAGGCCCCAGAGGACATGTAGCTTGGCACACTGGAGCCAGCTTGGGCCCTTGCTGTTGTCCCCAGCCCTGATGGCTCGTCTCTGCCCATAGGACCCATGAAGCTCAGTGGAGAGGCTGTTCACCTCCCCCACCTGCGGCCGCTGCCTGAGAGCCTGCCCTCATCCAGTCCACTGCTCCAGAGCGCCCCAGGGGTCAAAGGTCACCAGCGGGTGGTCACCCTGGCACAGCATATCAGCGTAACTACCTGTTCTCTGCCCTTAGCACCTGGGCGGGGCCAGGTCCCAGCGAGGGGAGGACAGCCCCGTGGTCCTGGCAGGGCAGCAGAAGGGCAGTGTCTTCTAGTCAGAGTCAAGGGCACTGTCCACACGTGCTCTGAGCTCTACCACGTTCCATTTCTGTAAGTCAAGTCCAAGCTACCTGTGGTTTCCAGTGTGAAAGACCAAGCCCCTCCCCCATGCGTGGACTTGGGGAACCTGAGGCCCAGAGAGCGCGGGCAGATCCACAGTCCCCCAGGAAGCCAGAACTGAGCCAGGGCTCTGCCCCACCCCACCCAGAAGTGTCCAGCAGGACAGCCCTTGACCTGTCCCCTTGACCTGCAGGAGGTTATCACACAGGACTACACACGACACCACCCGCAGCAGCTCAGCGCCCCCCTGCCCGCCCCCCTCTACTCCTTCCCTGGAGCCAGCTGCCCTGTGCTGGACCTCCGCCGCCCGCCCAGTGACCTCTACCTCCCACCCCCTGACCACGGAGCCCCGGCCCGCACCTCCCCCCACAGCGAGGGGGGCAAGAGGTGAGTGGGGGCCTTCAGGGCACCTGCTTTAGGTGTTGGCCTTCTGAGGCCTGGGGGCTGAGCTCAGCAAAGGGTGAGGCTCACTTAGTGCCACTGCACAGGTGAGAAACTGAGGCACACAGATTGGGAGATTTGCCCCGTCACTGAGCCAAGATGTCAGGAGCGATAAAGGATCCACCCCTCAGCTGATGCGTTACTCGTCCTGACCCTGTGCTCAGCATTGCCCCCGGAGGTGGGGGTGGCATTGCCTCCTTTCCGCACATGGGGAAACTGCCCACAGGTGCGGGGTGCATACACACATGCACGCACACGTACACACACGCGTACGCGTGCGCGCGCACGCTCCCACCCCGGTCGGCTCTGGGGTCAGGGGAGGCGGGAGAGCTCTGAGCTCTGGGGTGAAGAGAGTCATGCTGGGAGAAGTGGGGCACACAGGCACAGAGACAGCAGATGTCTTTGCGGAGCAGTGAGCTCTGACCGGGCCTGCGAGCCAAAGTCAGCACCATGGCCCCGGGGCCATGTTTCTGAAGCCTGTTTGTGCACACTTCATCAGCTAAAGCTACATTTTTAATGAGTGGTAAAAAACAGAATGTGGCCACAGCCCCAAAAGTCCCTACTGCTTGGCCATTCTTCGGAAAGCTGGAGCCTTGATGGGGTCGGTGGCCTCCCCTTCAGGAGGGAGGGCTCTGACCGCAGCTGGGACCTTCTTTCCACCCAGATCTCCGGAGCCAAGCAAGACGTTGGTCCTGGGCACCAGTGAGGATGGCCTTGAACCCGTGTCCCCACCAGAGGGCATGGCGGAGCCAGGGCACCCCCGGAGCGCAGTGTACCCGCTGCTGTACCGAGACGGGGAGCAGGCGGAGCCCAGGTACCCTGTGGCAAAAACCTCGCCTCAGAGGCTGCACCCTTATCCTCGGCCCTCCTCTGGCAGTGCAGAGTTTGGCGCCAGCTTCAGTGCTCAGCTGGGTGGCCTTGACCTGCATAGCCACTGTCACAAACTCGGAGGCAGGAGATGCACTTCACTGTGTGTGTATGAGGGGGGTGTCCAGTAGTAGCCCAGTGTCCTGGGCTGGCGTCTCAGCTTAGGTCAGGCTTGTACCCAGCACCTGCGGAGGATCTGAGGACTGATGAGTTAGGTGCATGGATAAGACCCATCCTGGGTGGAGGCAGAGAGCCAGGGGACCACGGGCCTGCCTCCAGTTCCAGCCCAGCTTAGGGATCCTCTGTGAGGTCACCCTGCAGCAGGTTACGGATGGCCCACCACGCAGCCAAGGGTCTGTCGAGAGACCCTAGCCCAAGGCCAGGTCCGCTGCAAAAAAGGTTTCTGGAGGCTGGTTCCCCTCTTAACAGCTGTGGGCCCGGGAGGAGCAGGGCTGTGAGCGCCCCGTCTTCCAAGGCATGCAAGCTCAGTGCTGAGCTGGCTTTCCCGGGAGTTCTGATCCCCACACCCCTCCCAGCAGGATGGGCTCCAAGTCTCCAAGCAACACGAGCCAGCCGCCGGCCTTCTTCAGCAAGCTGACGGAGAGCAACTCCGCCATGGTCAAGTCTAAGAAGCAGGAGATCAACAAGAAGCTGAACACCCACAACCGCAACGAGCCGGAATACAGTGAGCAGCAGCTGGGGCACCCTGGGCTGGGAGCTGGGGCGGGGGGCATTTGGGGGGCCCGTGCACCTGCCCTGAGCCACTCCACGACCTCCATCCCCGCCCCCAGAACCCAGCAGCGTCTCCACCTGTTGGCTTTTCCGTGACCGCTTAATTGGCACAGAATGTCACCTGACGTCACCTGACGTATCTAGGCGCTTAGTGAATGTGTGCACACTTGGCCCCATCTGAACACTGGGATCGGGTCACATCGCACAGGGGCTAGGTGACTGCCACTCGACAGTACTCATCACATGATACAGTCCCTAGACCCCTGTCCTCAGCAGTCAGATGTGGGGACAGTGTGCAGTGGGTGAGGAGTGAGTGAGAACCTGACCTCCAGGAGCCCCATCTGCAGGGTGGTTGTGGACAGGTGGCCAGGGCTGGAGTAGAAACCTTTCGTGTGGCCCCAGCCCAAGCCCATAACGCCAGAGCCTGGACTAGTCCCTGTGGTCCAGGAACCGGGATGCGGGTGGGTGGGTGCTGGTCTCCAGGATCTGTGGGCTGTGAGCCTCACCCATGTACCCCCCTCCAGATATCGGGCAGCCCGGGACAGAGATCTTCAACATGCCCGCCATCACCGGAGCAGGTAACCCTCAGGCCTGGCTGCACGGCCGTCACGGGGACACGGTCCAGCCCCTCCTCCTGGCCTCCCTTAACCCTCAGTAAGGCTCAAGTCACACAGCAGGCCCTGGCAAGCCTTGTCCACAGCGTGGTGTCCTCACTGAGCCAGGACCTCTTGGAGTTCAGGGTCAAGGTTGCCTGACCTTGCAGGGTGGCAGGTTTAGTATTAGATGCACGCTGTCTAGACGCACGCTGGCTGTTTGTAGGGTGGCAGATGAAAGCGGAGTCTGTGCCAGAAGCCAGCCCGGGCTGGGTGCAAAGCCTCGGGCCTCGCAGCAGCATCGTCGGTCGCAGCCAGGTCGTCCGCTAAACATGAAAATTCGAGCCGGGAAGCTGACCGGGACTTTGTTTTGTCGTTTCCAAATCAAGTGAGGGAGGTGGGGATGACAGTCACAGGCTGTTTTATATCAGAAACTTAAGACTTCTGTGATACTTTGGACTTCGGGGCTTTGGAGGTTGGATGGACCCATGGCCTGTGTCTGGAGGGTCCCTTGTGTGTTCCTGCTGTCCTGGAGTGGGACTTTGAGAGGTGCCTCGGTGAGGTGCAGCCCGAGGTGGGCTGAAGAGCAGGACACGTGCAGCTCTGTCCCTCTGCGTGACAGGATTACACCCGTCCTTCCGTGGAAGGCCAAGGCCAGAGGGACAGGATGGTTTGCTGACCTTCACGGGGGTCCCCGCTGGGGCACCATGTGCCAGACTCAGCCTCAGAGCAAGATGGCTAGAAATGAGCGGTTCTAGAATATTCCAAGGCTTGACACTGGCACAGCCATGTATACATGTTTAGGGATTTGTGGGAAGGCATAATTATGATTTGTGCTGAAACTTGTCCATGTAGATTTTATGTACATTTAGATTTTATATATTTATGTATTTTGTTATATATATTTTTTGTTTGCTCCCTTAAAAGTTGTCAAAGGCCAGGTGCGCTGGCTCATGCCTGCAATCCCAGCTACTCAGGAGGCAGAGACAGGTCGAGGTTCTAGGCCAGAGCTGGCAAAAATGTGAGACCCTGCCTCAACAAACAGGCAGGACATGGTGGCCACCCCTGTGATCCCCGCCACACGGGAGGCAGAGGCCGGAGGATTGCAGCCCAGGGCAAAAACTGCGAGACTGTACCTGAAAAACACTGAAAGCCAAACGGGCTGGTGGCTTAAGCGGTAGAGCACCTGCCTAGCAAGCAGGAGGCCCCGAGTTCAAACCCTAGCTCTGTGGGCCCACTCTCTGGGTCAAGCCAGGGCACGTCACCTTGGGGACAAGTCTCAGGAGTGCTGCTGTGATCACCAGCGTGCACTCCAAGCAGAAGCCACCAGCACCATGGCCCTCGCCGTGTTCCTTCTGAATGTGCAGGATTGTAAATGCTTTTTCTGTTTTGGGGGTGTTCACCCCTGTTGGAGGTTTCTAAAAGAGCTGCTGGACTGTGGCTCAGGCAGCACTGAGGACGGTGTCATGAGCGTCCCTGGCCCCAAGTTCACCCAAAACCCAAGGGGGAATAAGAGAAAAGTATAGGCAGCCAATAGTTGCCCAGAAATGGGGTGCAAAGAGTGGCCATGACCCCCAGCCTCACAGGCGCTGTGGGGCCAGTTTACAAACGGCAACCGTCCAGAGCATGTCAACACGGGCTGCTTAATACTCACACTGCTCGGTCAATGCAGAAGTTTTAAATTCCTGACGGCCTCGCTCGGAGTCAGGGGGACAGGACTGGGGGGCCTTGGAGGGTTTGGGAAGCAGTCTGGCTAAACAGAAATGCCGGGACAGGGTGTCTGCCCTGTGCCAGCTTTGCAGAGTCCCCCACCCCAGGACAGAAAGAAAAATGGGACGAAAACCCAGGAAACAGTAAAAGGCTGATGGGGAGGCACAATGGGGTCTGAGCATTCCCCGGGGATCAGTTTGTCAGTTCAACCACTCTGTCCTTGTCATGGGGCTGGGCCAGCTGGGGCTGGAGTGGCTGTGCACCTGTCTACATCTGCCCTGTCCCCCGCCCGCACATAACTGCATGGCTGCGACCCTCCCCTCACCTCACCTCACGTCCGTCTCTGCACCTCTTTCTCCTCTGGTTCCTGGTGGGTAGAAGTGGGGGGCGCTCAGGCAGGGCCTCAGGCAAGGCGGGGCAGTGAGAGGACCTCTGGTCACCTTTCCTCTCTGGGCCCCTTCCCAGCCCCCATGGCTGGGCGGTTCCAAATGGGGTCTCCCCACCTCCTGCCCTGTTCTGACTTAATCCAGTGACCTGGCAGCTCTCCCACCATGCCCTCTTTTTAAGAACACTGGAAGTTTCAAAAAAAAAAAAAAGCCCCAGATGGTACCGGGGCACAGAGGGGTCTCCTGACTTCCCTAGGATAGCACAGGAGCCAAACCAGGGGGCAACCTGAACCCCAGCCCCGTGTCGCCACCCTGCAGGAGAGACGGGAAGGGAGGAAGGAAGGAAGGAAGGAAGGAAAGAAACGTGTTGCTTTGCTGAAATGTGCTCACTGTGTCTCTCTCTCTCCTCCTCCTCCCTCCCTCCTCTCTCTCTGGCACCCCTCTGGCTCCCCGGCCCCTGTGTGTCCGTCTGTCTGTCTCTCTCCCAGGCCTTATGACCTGTAGAAG